GTCCGATGTCGTCCTTATTGTTGATCCTCTTAACGTTCTTTGATGACAATGGCGGCGCCATTGCAAACCTCTTTTCAACTTAAGACTTGTCGTTGCTTCTCTATGTGAATCTTTGTGCAATAACAGAATACGTGGTGCAAGCACACCTGGTCACTCCACTACTATAACTTCAGGCTTCATCAGTCAAAAAGTGGCTGATCAGTTGCGTTGCGAGTCCAACGCATAAGAAAGAGAAACGAACTTGATGCTGACTACTGATTCCACGTTTGGACCAATTGTTAGGCGGTTTATATAAACTTAATCGCAAGGTTAATTCCGATTTATTTGGATCTGAGGAGTCAGACTCGCCTGGTCACGGAAACGGATTTGCAATCTTATCTGATAATGACATTACCCACATCCTAGAAATCGTATGTACACTCAGTCATCTCAAACGGAGTCTTCTAATTACCGCCAGCCCCTTGTGACTAGTAATCGTATAATACCATCTAACAATAGAGGTGGAATTTCCCAAAATTCGAAGGAAATTTCTGGTACTGCTACTTCTTCGACTAAAGCATATAAATTTGACCATCGTCCTCCCGCTTTTGCGATAATGGGTCTCACTGATGTCGAACAACTTATGAACCTCATCAAGGCTGCTACAACCAATATACTATTTTAGATAACTGGACCTGCTACAGTTAGGGTATCTCCTTTCGATCGTTATACATACAAGATAGTACAACATTTCTTGTGGATCAGCAATATCCCGCTTAACTCTTGGAATCGTAGTCAAAGGCCTACATTCCTCTCCGGATCCTGAAGATATTAAGGCTGATTCGGCGTCGTAATATAATTGAAAGGATATTGGACAATCAAAAACATAATTTTTCTCGCCTCCCAAGTGCGCTAAGTGTGGTGGTGATCATGAATCACGAAACCCTGTTTTGCCCCGCTAGGTCCCAGGATCAATTGAAGTGCATTAATTGCGGTTCCAACAGCAGTGCAGGCTACTGCAAATGTCCAGCTTTTCTAGAAGCCATTGCTCGTCGCAAATCTGGAACAAACAAAAAACAACCATTAATTAAATGCCCCTCTTTCTAGTCAGAGTGTTTGGGGCCCAGCTATACTTTCCTTGTCTTCTGGTTCTAGCACTTCCATTTTAATGCAACGCGCACCCAAGGCTTCTCCGTCTAGTGCCGGATTTGAACTATTCATCTCCCGTTTTGGCCAAATAATGTGAATAATGATGAACATGATGGAGTTTCTTATGAACCGGCAGATCGCCTTCCGATGCGTCTAAGATCTCATTTTGGAACGCCAATGGTCTCACTGACAAAAGTCTTTAGTTAGAGCACTATGTTACCGCTAATTTAATTGATATGATGCTAATAAACGAAACGCATTTCTACAGCCGCTCGCATCTCACAATTTTTGAATATGATTTATTGACGGCCAATCATCAATTTGGCCGTCTTCAAGGTGCTGCTGCTATTTTTGTCCGCTCTCACTTGCAATACTCCCATTACATTATAAACTTAACTGTCAAATGTCAAGCTGCTGCAATTACCTTAAGCACGGACATCGGATAGATAGTGATTGCTTATATTTACTGGATAACTTTTCATGGTCTGCTTTTGGACAACTTTTCAAGAAATTTTCAAACCGTTTTATCATAGCTGATAACTGGAGTGGTCAATCAATTTGGGGGTTGTAGCCGCTTTTTACCGAGAGGTGATCAGCTTTTAGATCATATTCCGTCTTCAAGTCTGCAAGTCTTAGCTACAGAAGGATCAACCAACTTTCCTTCTGATGCAAGGAGAAGTCCAACGGCAATCGATATTGTTATTTATAAAGGTATTTCGTCCTGCTTTTTGACTGCACATGAATCAAATGAACTTAGTTCTGATCACATTCCGCTTGAAATACTTTTATGCGCTGCTGCTTCACGCAAACTTAACACAGCAAGGCTGCTGTCTCGTCGGGCTAACATAGGACGTTTTGAGATCATCTTACAATCCTTATTGAGAATGATGAATCTGCTGATCTAAGTTGTCCTCTGGATACTAATGCTGCTGTTACCGACCTGATTCAGTCTGACGCTGCCGCATCCACTGCTAACGGTAATCACTCTGCTGTTCCGCAGCTTAATGATGACCTTTGAAACCCTGGAATAAACACTCTGGTAAGGCAGAAAGAGATCACTACGGCGACGTTGTAACGCGTTATCCATAAGACTAGACTTTCTTGAAAGGGCTGATTCATTATTAATAAAAGCTCTTTATGATGCTAGTTCGGACTTTTACTCCGTAAACTTAGTGCTATCGATCCGGATGCTGATCGAGGCTTTGCGCTGTGGAAATTCACTAGCGGGCTTAAGCGTCAGCCTCTCCAAAGGTTCCCTTTAGATCGATCGGACGGCAAATTACGATGTTGAAAAAGCTAAGAAAATCGAAGATTCTTTGGAGGAAAGATTTAAGCCTTTTGAATTGGTCACAGATGAAGAGACTGCTGTTACAGAGCTCTTGATGATATTTCCTCTGGTCCTGCTTTTCAAATTTTGTCTCTTAATGAATTAAAGATCAATTTTAGCGACTAAAGCTCTGCCAGTGGCAGCTATTTCGTTCTTCAATGCTACGATTGTTCTTTCAAAATATACGGAGCAGTGGAATCATGCGAATGTTGTTATGGTCCCCAAGAAGGGTGTTTGCATAACGCTACTGAGCAAGTGCATTGGGTGGTCAAAGTAAAAAAGTGAAAAAGTATTTTTATGGAGTTTATTAGATGTCAAGCAAGCCTTTGATCAAGTCTGGCACTGCGGTTTACTTTTAAGCTTAAGCCCATTCTTCCCCCGACATACATTGATTTCCTCCGCTCATTTCTTATTGGCAGAACCTTCCAGGTGGATGTTTGAGAATCTAAGTCTGCTTTAAGGCCTTTACTTGCTGGAATCGGACCTTCCTTCGCCCATAAGCAGGCATGTTTTAACAGCTACTGATTCAGATGACACTGCTTTTCTGGCGACAAGTGATCTGCGAAGAGAGTCGACAGATATGGTGCAGGATATGTTAAATGAGTTTGAGGCCTGGGCGTTGCGGTGGAATATCTTTGTTAATCCTGAAAGATCCCTACATGCCATCTTTTCGTTGATCAGGCTGAACACTTATCCTTTCACCCTGGACGGGATTCCAATAAAGCACTCTGTCGGCTTATTTGGAAGTACCACACTGTGACTACCTGAGCTTCCACAAGGCAAAAGGGGATGTAGTTGAGATGGCTCCTTCGTCCACGAAGTGGATCCCGGCGAAAACTCGGCTCTCAAAGCTATTTTAATACCTAGTCTACATTGGGGTATACATGTCTGGGGCTCTGCCTGTAGTACGTCTTTAAAAAGAATTAAATCCTGTTAAGCCAACATTTTAAGACACATGTTTCTATCCTAAAATTAATCCTGTTTGTACATCTATCACTACACCCAGAAAAATTTAGAACGAAAAAAACCGAGATCGGTTCTTCTCGGTTTAAGTATTGTGTCTTCTCACATTTTTCTTCTCGGTATCATGACGGAAGCGATGTCGATTTTAGTATTCCGAACTAAATTCAATCTCGGTTCTGTGGTTGTTGACGAGGGCGTTGAAAAAATGAGAGTGACAGGAGAGGAGAGGAGAGAGACCAAACTCCTCTCTTGAAGTTACCGTTATCGAAGTTATCGAAGTATGCGGCGCCTATATGGCTGCAAATTCACTTCTTTGTATATGTTGAAACTGTGCGGTTTAACAGTGTAATGAGTGACAACGAAGACGAGCAAAAATTGGAGGACCTGCTTCAGGAATTTAAACTAATAAAATCCCTTCCACATTTACAGCGTAAGTAAAATACATACATATATACACAAACATAAACGTAACGTAACGTAAACTAATAATTATTAACTTATAAGATAATGTGTGAAATAATTATGTAAAAGGGATGCTATTAACAAACAGATTTCTACGAACATATGTATGTATGTTAACATAACTATGCACGCAGCGCAGTATTTTATTCGACTTAGTTACAAGTTTGCATGCACGCACAGAGATACACGACATAACCTGAAATGTACAAATACATATGCGAATGCAAAATATATATATGTATGTCGGCGATTGGTATATCTCAGTGTATAAGGAATGCTATTTTCTTGTGTCCTCTTATGTCCTGCATTTTTGCAATATCATTGTTTCTCTCTGCTCGCCTTGCAAGGTACCGATAGAACTGTTGCCTGTGCGGCGCTACAAACAGCTGCGTTGCAGGCTTCGTGGATTTTGTCATGTCCTTTTTGAGAGGAACCGTTAAAGCGAGGCGTCAGCGATGTGGCGCTGTCACCGTGTGTGGTTCGCAGGAACAGGATAGGCAGTTACAAGAAACGCACTCCGCTCTAATGGAACCCGAACGTAATTTGATATGTACATATGTAATAAATTGTGATTGTTATTTGCAGCTGTCTTCTAGTATAGTATTAATAAAAATCATTTCTTGTTTTAGGTGCCGGGGTTTCTTATGAGTGCCTTCAATTCATAAATGACGACGAAATAAAAGAGGCCATTCCACCGATCAGGTTGACGGAGTGGAAGAAAGCAAAGGTAAGAAATATACAGAGTGCGACTAAATTCATGATACAGCAGACGATTTATACTTTAGTTAACAATAACTCCTTAATTAAAATATAAACGAAAAAAGTAAGGATGCCATGTTGTTTATTTCAGATATCTTAACAATATTACAAATTAATATAACAACTTTATCCCTTGGTTGACCTAGAAATTAGAAAAAAATTAAAAACTTAATGCATTTTGTTCCACAAAAGTGATGATACATTTAAAAGTAATCGCGCTCGCATCTGTTCTGTTTTGACAATTTAGATATTTTAAGTTACCTTTTTCTCTTTAAACTAATCTAACAGTCTCAAGTGCCAAACGCAGTTCCAGTTAAAGAAAAAGTAGCGACTGAATTTGTATATGAAAGCACCAAAAATGTGCTAGAACAGGTAATCTCATCTTACTCAAATTAACTTTTTCCGAAAACAGATTATGTAAACCGCAGATTTTTCAAAGTTGTTGGACGAGACTATAAGCATTTTTCCTTGCGAAGCGCAAAGCCGGGTAATACTTAAACCACAATAAAAAACCATTTTAATTTTATTTTTAAACATTCTGCTTTTATCTTAAGGACTATTATTTTATTCCTCGGGGAAAAAACATAGTAACCCCAGTGGAAAATTATATTTTAACTATAAGAACAGACGTCGCAAAGTTTTATCTGGCAAAGATGATGAATATATTCCACACGATTTTGAAGACGACGACAAGGGACTATCATTGACATTAAAATTGCATTTAAAGAGAGACTCATCGGATTGGAGCGAAGTCTGTAGACTCTGGGAAAAAACATGTAAAATTCGCCAAGAAGATGTAAAGTCGCTGAGCAATTTAGAATTCATGCCAGACTGGCCAAAATTAGGTCATTCTAAAGTTTCTTCTTTGGTAATTTTACATACATACGTTTATTTGATTGTCTGTGTAGTTAGGTTCCTTAGTGGTGATTTTCCCCTTGCATTCGTTTGTATTGTAGCTTTACGGTTTCTCTTTTTAAAATTATAAGAGTAATTTATGTATTGTATATTTTTCCATAGATCGAGACTGACTTTGATTTCCTTTACCGAGGAAAGATAAATTTCCTGTTCGATAGCTGGAACAGCTTTAAGGACAAAATTTTGATATATTTCAAACGGCACATCCACAACGAAGACCGGAAACGACAACTACTTGATGTAGAACGCGCCAACGTTGGTAAGTTTTCTGCTTAAGCAAAAAATGTTGTCATAACTGCATAATTATTATTTTTACAGATGCCCAGGATTACTTGACCCTTATTTTGCTAAATGCCGTCTTGCCGCCGACATCTCGGATCTTGAATCAAAACGGGAAAGGAACTAAAAACCGACAATGGCGGATGCTCAACTTTCGATGGTACTACGGCTTTCAAGCTTGAATGACTATGAACGTCGTATCAACAATAAAGTCAGGGAAAAGTATTTAGAGGGATCAACAATACAGCCATTTATAATTATTCACGCATCGTCTGAGCGACAGCAATTGAAAAGTATGGGTCTTTAAGATATTTGTGGTGCATGAGGTTTGAGGCGAAACACAAGAATTCCAAGATTTATTTTCACAATGTAAATTCAAGAATTAATCCTCCCCATACCTTAGCCATTAAATGTCAAATTAAGTTTGCAAAATTTCTGACGGACCATGCCAAATCTATTGAGCCGTATTTAAGACTTACATCAAGAGAGCAAAGTATTTTGAATAATAATAATGCATTAGAAATAAATAAAAACCATGGGAGTGTAAATAACTTTAAATTTTATAACCAATTAGAATATAAGGGCACTGCTTATAAAATTAATTATTATTTAGGTTTAAATAAGAATAATATTATGTTATTTAAAATTAAGCAATTTCTAATTCACAAAATAAATGTAAGTGAAGTTTAAGTTTATTGTGAAAAAATTGTCATTTAAGATCATACATTGTAAAAAATCCATTAAGAAACTACATTTTTAATTTGACAGACTTTGAACGCCCCCCTCCATGTATATACCCTTAATAATGACATTAAAGCCGTAAGGCTAAAATATATATAAATATAAAAAATTTCGCATTTTATTGAGAATGGGTTCTGGAAGCGAGATCGATGCGATGTTGAAACCGAGAACGGTTCTTCTCGAAACCGAGATCGATGCGATGCTGAAACTGAGAACGATTCATACCGAAATCGAGATCGAAGCGATGCTGAAACTGAGAACGATTCATACCGAAATCAGGATGAATCTCGAATCGAGACCTATTCGATGTTGAAACCGAGAACGTTTACTCTCGAAATCGAGATCGATTCAATGTTGAAACCGAGAACGATTCATACTGAAATCAAGATCGACCATTCTAAAAGGCCCGTTCTCAAACCGAGAAGACTTTGATGACGATTTTAGTATTTTTAGTATGAGTCGTTCTGGGCTCACTTTTGAGAATACTGAAATCGAGAACGCTTAGAACGGTTTTTTCCCTGAGTGTAAGACTGCCATTCGCTACAGATCAAAACTCCTCTCTCACACAAACAGACTTTCTCTCAAATGTTCACCGCCCAATTTTTATGAAAGGCTTTTATTTATTAAACTACATGTTAATATTACCATGGGTAAAAGTGAATTGAAGATAATGGTGATAAAGGACAAACACTGGGAATCTAGCAAACAAACGTTGCCAAACAATATTTTATATCCGTTAACAACAAATTCTAGCGCATCGCAAGTTCATTTCAGCAGGCTTCCACGCCCACTCAAACGCTTACATATGGCAAAACCTGTCAAGCGCCCACATTTTTTTGCAAAAGTGAAATTGCTACTTGGTTCTGATTATTACTATTAACTATTAATTGATTATTATTTATAAAAAAGAATGAAACAAAATCTGGTAAAGTCTACATATGATTTGAAGTTGGAACTATGAATAGATAATAGAACTCTAATTTTCCTACACAAAATATAATGAATAATAAACTTACATACCTACCTTGCTGATCAACTTTTGGGGTTCGAATAGACCCATTTAATTTTTTTGTCTAAGGAGAAGGTTGTTTTGTTCTCTGAAGCAATTTTATAATTCATACTGGGCAGCTGTGGAACGAACCGCCTCATGATCTCAAAACAAGAAGAAGAGCTGATCAGATTAAAATAGAGTTTGTAAGCAACAGCGGTGGCCTTCGACTCTGCCTCCAATTAATTATATCTATTATATTTATATATATGCATAAGGGCGGTTCACATTTGTATACAAATTTTAAAGGTCCTACTCTTACCCATATCGCATATTGGTGGCCCTCACTGTTTTATTTCTTAAGTTCGTTTGTCGCCTTTCCGAACTACTTTAGTTTTCCAAACAAAAACATTTTAGTCCTTTGGTACATTCTTTTATTTATTTTGACCGAAATCATAGAGTTGACAAAGGGGAGAGGAAATAAATTTTTTAAAAAGTTCTGACTGCCATACATATCGTATTTGTGTTTTTCGCAAGAGCATTTTTTGGATCCCCCTAATGTACATATGTGTTGTGCTAGTTGTATTTGCCTTTATATTGCAAGCTTGTACTTTCTTATGCACTATAACATTTTTTTTCTATTTTCTAGGGATGGCAGCTGATCCCCGAAAAAGACGGATCTAATAACACTAGTTAGCCGAAAAAGTTCACCTTTAAAACCACTTTTCTAGACTAATATGTTCTTCCTCTACACTCTGGTATCACTCAAAAAATTTTCAAAATAACATGTTTTTTTGAACTTGCTTGATTAAAGAGCTAATATCACGGAATTAAGTTTTCTATCCGTTGAAACAATCTAAAAGAAGATAAATTTACCTTTCTAAGGACATATCATTTGTTGGGAACGGTCTCTAGTGAACGGAGTAATTAATTTGAAAAGCGTTATGACGGTTTTTAAGACGAAGGAATGGCAATTGTTGGATGCAACTTCGGAAAATTCTTAATCTCACAACCGAAGCAGTTCAAGTAAAAAAATCTTCTTCCAATCAAGCAAACTCAGCTGGCCCTTAAAATGTGAAACGGCATCTCTTTAAATTTCGAAAAGAGGTTAGCCGAGATGCACATGTTCCGCATACAGACTTGGGAGTGCATGGTTTATCTACATTTTTCGCTTCAAAACCAAAATATATATTACTGCCCTTTGTCCCGCTGAATATATACCTTCCGCATACATGTAAGATGTTATTGAATACGGTTTATTAATATTATTTCGCGGTGCACAGGTAATGACAAGAAAAATTGTCTTTTCTTAAACTGCTGGATAAATGCTGCTGCTTTCTGCTGATTTTCCACACACGTTCGGCTGCTTCAATTCTCTCCTGTTACTCTGCTACTTCTACTTCTTCTACTCCTTCTGCTGTTACTGTGCTGTACGACTTCTGCTACTGTTACTCTGCTGTTCGATTTCTGCTGCTGTTACTCTGCTGTTCGACTTCTGCTGCTGTTAACCAACGTGCCTTTAATAGATCTGCTTGCCTACTCTCTGTTACATTCGGTCATCCTGATCAGTCATCAGTCCCTGATGACCATGCCTCCTCGTTGTTTACAGCAAAACTTCATAGTTTCATGTTATCATTGCTCGTGCTCGTATTTTTGGGTCCCTCGACGTCTGCTGCTTTTCGTACATTAAACCGTTCACCTCGTTTCACTTCTGTTATTTCGTATGGACCTAAGAATTCGCTAGCCATGTTTCTCCCAGCTACGAATTGCGTTCTACGGATGGCAACTTTGTATCCGTACTCGCATTTTCGCTTTGTATCAAATTGTTCCTTATATTTTTTGTGGGCCTGCTGAATATTATCTTTTGCTTCTTGTCGCATTTTCTTTCTTTCGTCATAAAAGTTATCTAACATCTCCTTTTCTATTAGTTGAAGTACATCACTATCTGGTCAACAACGCATTTTTATCCCGATCAGCAGCTCAAATGGAGAACGCTTTGTAGATTCATGAACTGTGCCATTGATAGCCATCTGAACTCGAAGTACAAACTTATACCATCATCAATGTTCCTCCGACGACAATTTTAAAATAATGCTCAGGATGGATCGGTTTGCACGTTCCATTTGTCCATTGCCTCTTGGAACTCCTGTGGTGCCCCAAACGTGTTCAATATTTTCTTCCTTCACAAACTCCTCAAGGCTAGACGACGTTAATGCTGATCCGCGATCGCTTACTATACGAGCCGGACTACCAAAGAAGTCCGACCATTCCCTTTACTTCTTGAGGACTTCGTCTGAACCTGTTGTTTTTGTGGGATACATCCATACGAACTAGCTAAAGCTGTCAGCCATCGCGTAGATGTACTTGTACTGCTTTGAAGTAGCATCCATTGGTCCCAGATGGTCTACGTGTATAGTATGAAGCGGCTCTGATCCTTTGTCGATTTGATGCAAAAATCCTTCTTTTTTGCCGAGCTTATTGTTGTAGATTATACATTTTATACAGTTTCCTAGGATCTTCAGTACCTTCCCTTCTACATGTGGGATCCAATATCTCTGCTGTATGGCATGCATTGTTTTTTGTACGGCATTGTTTTTTGTAACGCAGGCCACCGTTGTGTGCCTCTGTTATAATCTCTCTCTCCAGCGATTTCGGTATTGCTAACAGATCCGATCCCTGCACAACCTTGTACACCAGACCAGCCTTTAATTTAAAGTTGTCATATGGTTTACTTTTCAGGATTTCGGAGACTTCTTTGATTATTCTCCTGCTGGGCTTTCTTGATTCTTGCTGTGAGTTCCGACGATACTATCATGACATCAATTGGGTATCGACGTGGGCAATCCACGTGCTTTAGCCGCTGTACTGATCTGTGTTCCAACTCAAAACTGTAGTCCTCTCGCGCAACGTCCTTCTTTCTTAACGTTTGTTTAAAAGCGGCGCAATCAATTACAAGCTTGAAGTTGGTACCGAGTATGTACTGACAGAATTTTTTTGCATACAAGAAAAATAGCTTTTATAGCTATGCTGTCGTACTTCAGAATCCGAGGTTTTCTTGCTCCAGAATAAGACCGGATGCAATTGTCCTTCATGCCACTGTAACAGCGTAGCTGCGAACCCATCCTTCGACGCGTCGGTGTGTATCTCGATTTTTGCATGCCTGAGGTAGAGTCTTAGCACCGTCTCCCTCACCAATGCTTCCTTTAAATTTAACGTCTTTTCGCAGCAAAGTCGTTAATAGTTTTGCGATCAGTTAATCACAAAAACGACTGCACCGCTTTCATGTTTTGCGGCATTGAAAACTTTCTGATGGCTTTGGTTTTTTCCGGTCTAGACTTAATTTCTCCTCCTCCAACAAGATGTCTCAAAAATGTTATTGAGGACTGCAGGAATCGGCATTTCTTCCACTTCATCTTCAGCCCGTATTCAGCTGCTGGATCTAAAACCTTCTTTAGCTTTCCCAGGCATTCGTCGGCAGTTTCGGCGTGTATAACAATGTCGTCCATGTAAAGATCTAAAATGTTTTCATTTATGAGGTTTTGAAATACATGACCTATGAAGCGGATGAAGACTGCTGGCGAATTGCAAAAACTGAGAGGCGTTGAATTGAATTCAAAGAGGCCTTCCTTCGTTATGAACGCTGTATACTTCTTGCTGCTTTCTTCGACTGGAACGTGGAAGAAACCATTTTCCAAGTCCATTATGGTGAAAATTTTTGAATTTTCAAGTTTTTCAAGCACGTTTTCAACGATTGGAACGGGGAAGCAATCTTTTAACACCATCTTGTTCAACTGGTAATAGT